ATGAAGTAATTACACACAAGTACCAAGCTCTGGTTTTGTTTTTCCCTCCACTGCTCTATACATGGTTTGGCCCAAAAGCCAACAACGGACATGAGAAATCCTCAGGTAACCTTGACTTTTCGACTCTTTAGGTATCATTTCTTTCTTATGAATGGACATGAGCATTATTTGCAGAGCATAGTGATTCTTCTCAAGGGAAAAAATACATATACATGTGTGTGTGTGTGTGTGTGTGAGAGAGAGAGAGAGAGAGAGAGAGAGAGAGAGAGAGAGAGCTATTACGGTAAATTAATAGGGCTTCGAAACAGAGATTCCAATTAATTTTAGAGCCCATTGTGTAATGACAGGTGAATCGATGGAACATCTGTTGACACAGAAAGTAGTGACTGTATATGGTAACAGAGTGGAATCCAGATCCTTATATATTTTTACCTGCTTCTTCTTTTCAGATTTAAAATAGGAAGGAAAGGAAAGGAATTAGAGATAAATTACACCATGCGATTATTATTTAATATCCCACAAAACAAGAATTACAAAAAACAAAAAAGTATTAGTCAAGTAATCTCATTTGATGTTTTCTTCCTTCATTCTCTCTCCTCTCCTTCCCTCCTCCCTTCCCTTCTTTTCCCTTCCATTTTTCTTTCTAGTTCCTGTGTGTTTTGTATCTTTTTGGCAGAGAATGAAAGATCTTTTCCTTTTGAGGATAATTCTTATCTGTGTGTGTGTGTGTGTGTGTATGTGTGTGTGTGTGTGTGTGTGTGTGAACTACTCTAACTCTTATGATTCGGGTAGAATTAAAACAAAAATTTTAGTTGAAATTAACTAAATGGTCTAGGCCAAAATTTAGTATTCCACAGACACTAGAAAATATTTTTTTAAAAAGAACAAAAAGAAAAAACATGAACGCTACCCCACCAAAGGTATACTACCCCTTGCTATTGACAGATGGCAACACAGCATCCCAAATAGTAGGCGCTATGATTTTCATCCAGCATAATTGATCAAAAGGATAGAGTGAAACGGATTTACGAATTTACACTAATTAAATTTTAACTTAATTTTAGGAAATGACTTAATCGAATGAATTAGTAAATGATAATAAATAAATCAAAACCAAATTTCAAATAATCTAACATTAAGCTTAAAGTTATAAATTTATTAATAGGAATAAACTGATATTCCTAGGTTTTTTAAGAGAGTGCCATTCATTGGTACTATATTCAAAAACATTCAGATACTTTGAAAATCTGCGAGACATTGGATATCAGAGCTTATTAAAGGTCAGGCTCTCTCAGGCCATGCTTAAGAAAAAGTCTTTAAAGCAGCATTTTAGATAATTTAACTGCTTTAGAAAACAGTTCCAGAAAATGAAGCTCCAAATCTTGGTTTTCTGTACTATACAGTTAAAAGAGCTAGTAATTTAAAAAATGTAATTAGAGCATCTGATGATTATCAGAAGGAAAATCCACTGTCCAGCTAGAGAAAGAGCTAAGTAGTTCATAAACTCTTTTGTTCATACTTAACTGCAGTCTTGTCTCTATTTTTATGTCCTTACACTTTATATACTAACTTATAAAACAATTAGTAGCAGTTTTCAAAATTATTACGTTCTTAAATATGGTTGTCTAAAAATGAGCAGAATATAGATCTTTAAGAGGAGCAAGGAAAACAGACATTACCAATATCTGTTATCAATAGTTATTACTGATACCCTTAGTCTCGTTGGCCATGGCCACTGAATTTGACTCTGAAAAAACATGTTATATCAAAGTTACATGGATCAAAAGGCGATTAAGGTAATAATCAGCTCTTTGCTCACCTACATGACAGATGTTTGATAAGTAATTTTTTATATTCACCTCCCAAAGTTCCATTCTCTTCATGTTATAGCAAATTCCAGCTGTGATCAGATTAGACAATTTACTAGAATTTTCAAAGGGGGAAAATTCAGATTGATTCCTTCCCATATGATTAACTTGATTTCAAGATGAGCTTGTAAAAGTCTGCATTTATAGACAAAAGAATTAAACAAGGTTTTGTCTGTTTATTTTTAAATCTCAGCTGGTTTATGGGAGAACAGGCCAAGCTCAGACAATGCATTCCCCGTCTCAGCTCTATTGGCTCAGCACAATGGACGGGCCTAGTGCGGTTCTCGTTTTTGACATTCTGCAAGAATGAAACCCTTGCAGGATGCCAAAAACGGGAACCGCCCTAGGCCCATCCATCCACAGTCCCGAGATGCTGTGATTGAAAATGACATGTGGAATCAGTTGGAGGAAAATAAACTAAGTCAGGGGAAAATGACGCGAGTAACAAACTAAGATAGAGAGGAGACGATTTAAAAAAAAAGAAAATAGCTTTGAGTTAGTATTTTGAGATACGGCAGACAGAAATTTCAAAGCCAGAGACGCAGAATCTGCTCACATAGAACGTACACTCTGGAATAGTACGTATCTATCTATCTAGTCACTATCTATATTTGCATGAAATTACTTTAAATACTGATCTGTAACCCAAAATATATTGTAATATGTCTCCTTGATAAAATCCTTTTTTCCTTTAATGAACTTTACTAAAGACTTTACTGAGGTTGGCAGTATAATATTTTTACTGTCATAAACGAACTGACTCAAATTTAGAGTAAGATAAGTAGAAATTTTGTTGGGAAAAACGATAACCTTTGAGGGTATGAACCAGACAGCTAAAGAGATCTTATTTAAAATTATGCCAGAGCAAACTAAAAGATGTTTAGAGTTAAAAGAGGCATCAAGTCTTTAGAGTTAAATAAGAATGGTTTGAAAAGGTCTATCTTAAAATGTGTAGATGTGAAATATATGTAGAAAGGTAATCTTTAAATCTTTATTCCATTCAGCAGTCACAATTTCAGTTTTTACTATTACATCAGAATGATCAAAAAGCTCACCGATTTGTGTTTGTGCTTTTGTTTTCACACAAGCGCACTAGTTAATATGTACACACACTCTGAACTATCACGGTCCTGGAGCGATAGGCTAACACCAGGCCATACCTGCGGCTCCTCTCATGGAGAGGAGCCCGCGCCTCAGAGAAGGGCCAAGGTTTTGAGGGGAGATGAGGCACAAGGTAGGATGTATGTGGTTCTTAGATGAGGACAGCGGGTGAGGATGGAAATTAGAATGTGTTGTCTTCTGCCTTTGATGGCAGCTCAACTCTGCTGCCCCTTTACCAACAACAAGGCCTCCTCCCAGTGAAAATACAAGCGACGATGTGAAAAGCGATCACTCTCAACGTTTCAGGCCACAGAAAGGGAAAGGGTGGTTATTGGTGCTCGGCTGGGAAGACCTGGTCCTTTATGACTCAGTAGAAGGCCCTAGATCCATAACCCCACACAGATCCTCTGACTCGCTCTCCTCATCTGAAGAGTGGATATAACGGTACCAACGTCACTGCATTGTTGCAAAAATTAAGTAAGATAACCCATTTAAAGAGACTAGAAAAATGCAGGACACACATACTACTTGACGTATAAATGTTGCTGTTCTGAACATCGTCTCCCTGACTCCCTGGACAAAGTATAATTGATTTCCAAAGATGAGAGAAGTTCTCAATCACAAATCCATTAAACCTGAAGGCCAATATACACATAAACACGGGGTTTACTAATTCTCCGATGCTCTCGTCCCTGGAATTGTCAGTTGTCAAAGATGCTGCTGTTCCACAACGGAGACGATAAAGATGGTCACATCACTCTGTGCCACTCCAGCCCTGTGAGTGTGTGTTGCTGACCAACGTGGACACAAACACTGATTTTATGTTCTTCGCTAAATATTTCCTCAAAAAGGTGGGCTTAGAATTCTGGTGTCTTGGTCACAAATGGCATCCCACTGAGCCCACTAGCAATACAC